TTCACAAATCTGGGCGGGTGGGAAAAAAATGGTCACTATGTAACATTGCTAACACTTGGTTATTCAGGGGAATATTAACATTTTTTAAATTTATTTTGTCGCAGAATCTTTCTGAAAATAAGCTGGGCTCTGAGGGCGCAAGGCTTGTATGTGAAGTAATGGATGACAACAGCTACCTAACGAGCTTACACTTAAGTGGTAGGTGACTTTATACGACATATTTATCAGACAGTTTCCCTGGCAATGGCGCTAGTTATGGTGAATGTAATCGATGGCTCATGTTGAACGTTATCGAAACCAGTTAGTCGATCGGAAAAAAAGTGTTTCATTTATTTGTACATAAGTTGCAATGGACTTTGCTGATTAGTTGGCATATACGCTATGTAAGCTATAATATCAATTGGTTAACTACACCACTGATAATCAGTAAAGGGCAATTCTGTTTTGTGTTGAAGAGGAGTGAAACACAATGCACAAGCAAATTTGTCAAAAATTATATGGCAAAACACAAAGGCTTATACAAACATGACAAAGAGCACAATTTTTGCCTACAAATCCAACAACGACTTGGTAGTAATTAATTTTTTTTTAACTTTCTAGGTAATGGATTCAGGGAATCGGACGCCAAATACTTCGCTGAACTCCTGAAGGTAATGTGATTTAGATTTAATGAAAATACGTGGATTGTTTCGAATATGTTTCATGTTTCATACGTTTCTTTCAAATTTGGCGCGCATTCACCCCTTTGTGCATGTGAGTGTATATTATGAATGTCTCTGTTCTGGCCATTGTTCAAATTTTTTTAAACAAAGGATTTTAACAACCATCATTCATTTGTAACACGCTTTTTTTTACTCGGCCTATTATTATCATCATCTCCCCTTTTTCAGAGTGAAGCATCTTCTAACCTTGTGGAACTCGATCTAAGTCATAATAACTTCTCGGAGAAAGGAGGCGAGTGGCTGGCGATTGCAATCAGTATGTAAATATATCTCAATTCTAGCATCCAAGAAAAGGGCGCCCTCTTATGGTAGCTAATTTGACCACCTATCCTATGGAAACCTTAGCTTATCTCAGGTTATCCTGTTTGTTCTAGCTAATGGTAGTTTATATTGATCGGAATATGATCGGATATAATCACTTGAAGTGCACCGTTACATTCTTCCACATGTTCATGACCAATCAATCGTTATTGACATATTCTATTGCATTAAAATAACCCATAAGTATCGGGCTTTCTGTGATATATATAGTCTGATGGAATTATGTAGTTGTAATTTAGAGATTTTTAGTAACAAAAAATACAGTTAAAATATTCGAATAAAACACATTCTTGTGTGCTTCAGTGGAATACTAAACAATACAGGACAGTATTCACAAATCATAGATACATAATCACGTGTGAATCTATTTGGTGTTTTGTGAATAAAAGTTGTAATTTTAGAGATTTTTAGTAACAAAAAATACAGTTGAAATATTCGAATAAAACACATATTCTTGTGTGATTCAGTGGAATACTGAACAATACAGGACAGTATTCACAAATCATAGATACATAATCACGTGTGAATCTATTTGGTGTTTTGTGAATAAAAGTTGTAATTTTAGAGATTTTTAGTAACAAAAAATACAGTTGAAATATTCGAATAAAACACATATTCTTGTGTGGTTCAGTGGAATACTGAACAATACAGGACAGTATTCACAAATCATAGATATATAATCCCGTGTGAATCTATTTGGTGTTTTGTGAATTGTTAACTTCAAGTGTGTTAAATATTCAAGTTGTCTGTCAGAATTAAATTTAGACAGCCATAACAAAACGCAACATAGATAAACAAGAGTGAAGTTTATTTTGAATATTACAGCTTACGGTGTCAAACCACTAATGTGACTGATACATTTAAACATATCTTACAGAAAAAAATAAAACATTGAAGAAACTGGACTTGAGTTGGAATCATTTCAGAAGAAAAGGAGCAGTAGCACTTTGCAGAGCATTTAAAGTGAGGAAAAAAATAACTCAGCCTTAGTCTAGTGACGAAGAGTTTTGTGACGCCAAACGACGTAATAGACTACTTTCCCGGAAGTCCAAGATATGCCGTTTCGCATACGCGCCCGTGCCGCATATGGGTGTGACGTAAATATGCACGCGTGGTATTGCGCTTCTGGGCGTACCGATCGATGTCACTAAAATGAAGGTCCCTTCTATCGAATATCAACAAACTGACATGTTTGTATTTTCTGTCATGACATATTTCTGCACCCCAGTCAAGCTACTTCCGGGAAAGTGGTCTATTCCACTTATTCACTCAGTGCATTTTCGTCACATAAGCTTTTCTTCGCTAGAGAGCGCCACTTACGGGAAAAGTGCAATGAGCTGAGTGAAACATAGCATATTGTGCTTGCGATGTCTGTGTGTCTAGTGTATCACATTGTTGCACATCCAAGTCTTAAGAGATAATAACCATAATTCATAGCCTCTTCCTTTAATAGATGAACACGACACTCACATATCTCGATTTATCTTGGAATGGATTGGCCGATGATGGCGCTGTGGTCATGGCATATGTTCTAAAAAAGAACGACACACTGCGATATTTAGACGTGGGATTCAACAGGATATCACGAATCGGGATAGCCAAGCTCACAGATGCTTTACGATATAACACTACTCTGAATGAATTAAAAGTACGTACAATATATGTTTTACGATATAACACTACACTGAATGAATTAAAGGTACGTACAATATAAGATTTACGATATAATACTACTCTGAAAGAATTAAAGGCATGTACAATATATGCGTCCGATCTAACACTACTCTGAATGAATTAAAGGTACGTACAATACATGTTTTACGATATAACATTACTCTGATTGAATTAAAGGCACGTAAATATATGCTTACGATCTAACACTACTCTGAATGAATTAAAGGTAAGTACAATATATGCTTTACGATATAACACTACTCTGAATGAATTAAAGGTACGAACTACAATATATGCTTTACGGTATTACACTTCTCTCAGCAAATTCGTAGCCTTATTAATAATAAGATAACGAATATTCGAGAGATGGTTACCTTTTTTTTGGTAACAAATCATGGATTAACTCTACAATTCTGGCTGATTAACTTTACGAGGATTTTTTTATATTGCAAATCTAACACTGTTCTATCAAATAGTGATGTGATATAAATGTTTGGACAATTGTTTTTACATGATTTGCTACGAACGAGGCTGATTAAAATGGCGGACTTCACGAAGTTTTCGTACACGGAATACCACGTGATAACAAATCACGCGTATAGTATATTTCCACGAAAGCTACACATGAAATGTTTTTTTTCACTGTTTTTTAAAATCAATATGATACTGAGCCAAAATTAAGAAAAACATGGTGGTTAGTATTATTAGGTGCTATTTAACATATTTATACATTTATCATAATATTATGCAAACTTGTACCTTGTGATCGAACAAAAAATATTTTCCTGCTGACTTAGTGTTGTTTTGGTGTGCGATGCATACAGCTCAGTGTTAATCGGATTAAAACAACAATTGACAAACAAAAATACAGCATATAACCCTTTAAACATGTACAATTACCATATATTTATTATAGGTTGCCGGCAACACAATCACTCACAAGGCATCGGCGGCAATGCTTGTTGCTATAGAGACAAGTTCTCAATCTTCAATCAATGTACTGGATCTTGGGGTAGGTCGTTATCATTACTGTTAAATATTCGCACATCACAAATTAGCTAAATATGGTACATGCATTTGCAAACGGACGTCACAGCGACCGCAGTTTCCACCGAAACACTGAATATCATGGCCAACAAGAGGAATTTGTAATCGGCCGTCGAGATCTCGCCCACAGCGAGAGAGCCATCGACTTTCCCTCAAGTAATGCTACATTATTATATCCTATACCGTGTACGATTTGTTAAATACCATGGGTCACACATGGATCAATGACTGTTATATGAATGACTGTTTCGTTGAACTTAATTCGTGAAAATAATTTGGCGCACTATCTTGATTAGGGTCGTCACCTGCGCACGCGCGGGTATTGAGTCCCAAGCGACGATAACAACGCACGCTAAAAACGCAAAGGCTCATGTGTAGACGCTTGTTTGTAAACAATGACACGCTATGACCATCTGACGCATGCACAGGTGACGACTCCCCGCTTTAAGTATATTTCATAACCGCCTAATTAAAGTCAAGTTGTCGACATTTTTTAACAGACCGAGTCAGTCACCAGGGAGTTTGTAGATCACTTGGAAGAGCTGCAACTAGAACGACCGATTAAAGTCATATACGGTTCCGTCGTCACAGAAATCAACCTACGTCATCGCATGATTGCTAGAATTAAAGATCTCCCGCCAAAAAATCCACTAAGGGTACTGCGAGACTATGTAGTGGAAAACCAGCTCAGGGCGGGGGATCTATTTCTGAGATTTGACAAGAATAGAGATAACAGATTGACGAGGCAAGAGTTGAGACAAGGTGTCAGAGTAAGTACTGCGATTTATAGTTTAAATATTCCAATATTTGAATTTTATTTCACGATATACTAGTATAAGCAAGTGTATTTGAATAATTCGATTTATAGCTGCCTGGGACAAAATTATGGAGGAGATAGTATGTCGTCCTTCACCATTAAATTCGCGCCTTTGAGCGCCAAAGTAAACTTTTGTCACTTTTCACAAAACATACCAAATTTTTTTTATATATATTTTTCAAAAAAAATATTTTTTCAAAAAAATTATAGGAAATGCATAAAAATTTGGCATCAAAATGGTGGCGGGAAAAATGACATTCAAAGGTTTATAAACGTTCACATGATGTATTTCCAGGATATTGATCTGCCGCTAAATGCGGAGGAAAGAAAGATTTTATACAAAGCACTGGATAAACAAGAACGTGGATATATTGATTACAGGTAGGTATATATTCAACAAAAGATGATTGAGTATGGATGATTTGAAAAAAAACTCAAAAACGAACATGAATTTTTTTATGACATATTTTGTAGCGCAGTTTACGTAGCCAGCAGGCAACAAGCCTATGACCCCAACGGCATATTACATTGACGTGCGCCACCAGTGTCGAAGAAACTTCGTTCAAGCGATGAACATGAAATATTAGTAATTATTAATTGGCTGCCATTTAACGATGACGCAATCGATCATGTACATATCAGTGTTCATGAAGAACTTTATATATACTTCCGTTCACAGCGAATTTGTGAGTACATTACAATTACTTGTCAGAGAAGAAAGAAGCCGTCGTTTGAGTTTAAAGCTGGCAGTTCGCACTGCAATAATGGTCGGTAAATATATGCCAAAGCAAACAGACCAAAGAGATCAGGAGACGAGCACCAATCACCAGTATCTGTCGTAAATGGCGCTGTTTGTCGAGATGAGTAGCTGCCGGAGAACAACGATACTTGTTGTATTTCGTAAACCGTGACGATGCCCTCTATATGTTGATAATAAGTCTTGTTTTCGCTGTTTTACGGTGTGTTATTCCTTCGTATTGAGCAACTCGTTTCTTTCTTTTTTAAAAAAATAAATAAATGCGTGTTCACTTTCCCGCACACTATATACTAATAGAAATTCCTTGTTTAGTTCATCAAAGTCGTGCATTTGTA